GAGACAGAAAATTCCGATGGGAGCCCGCATGATGACCGATCCTCTCAGAGCTCAACATAGGTAGCCCGTGCCAGACTGGCTATCAAAGGCCAACACCCTTAGTCTATGAGTATGGGGGAATAGAACAGAAAGCTAGGGAGAAGTCAGCATGTCACAGGGTACCATCACTTACTACCAATGAATTCCTAAATATTTGCTGGGGAAACAGAAGGTGGTTTGGTCTTTCTTGATTATTTTCCATGTTTTAAGTAGCTGCACTGTCTTTCATATTTTTCTTTAGCTTAGTTTGATTTACTCAATGCCATTCTTTTTGATAATATAGAATTTTAAAATGTCTGCTTTTCATGAAACCTAGAAAACAATTTTCCCAGAGCTGCCTATTCAGAAAAGAAAACCCTCACTGTCATAATTCTTAAAAAGATGAAATTACTCTGGAGGTTTGGTATTTTTTTACATTAAAATGAACTAAAGCAAAATTTAGAAGAAAGAACTACACACATGTAAATACCATATTTTTGATAAAAATGTGTAAATAGATTTATCAATGACAAGTGGACATGTGGCCAATTATCTACTGCACACCAACTGTTTATAGAACATAACAGATAAAGTGTAATTATTGTATTCTGTGAATACCATTTTCATATTAATTACCATATTTAAATGTCCACCAATATGATTTCTGCGTGATAAACCTCATATATGAATTTTAAACTAGTGAAATAAAGGAAATCTTGAGGTCATATACTGAAATGTGATTAATTTAAAATAAGGAATTCAGACCTATTTTTGTGACAAATTGCAGCACCAAACAAGCTAATAGTAATAATCATGTGGCTATGATTAGCCATATGGTAATTTGAACAGAATGAAAAGCATGCTTTTGATTTTTTAATCAATGAGAGAAATCATCATTCTCAATACAAAGCCCTGAACAACAGCATTTGACAGTGTCCTTTAAACTTTAATTTTTCAATGAATTGCTTTAAAGAGAATGAGCAGGGAAAACTAGTTAATTTTAGATCATGTTTTATATTAGGCTCCCAGAGACATAAAAAGTCATAATCTAATGACTATAATTTTAAAACTCCTTAAACAGTCTAGAAATTAGTTCCAGGTTCTTTAACTAACAAAAATAAAACATAAGCATGCTACAGAGTTGTTGATTTATCAGTAAATACCTGCAATGAGTTTTCAGTGAAGCTTCTCTCTGTGCTGATGAGATTTGTGCTACCTAAAAATTAACAGAAATGACACTGTGAACAATGTAGTTGGGAAATAGGTATGTGTATATGCATTATTTATATTCACTGTTAAGCTGGGAATGGGGGACAGCTCTGGTTCACAATGCTACATACACCTGAGTTTTTGTCTGATTTTACTATATCTGCTTGATGGCAAAAGGGGAGGGGTGGTGGGTGGGAAAGGAAATGTCAGAGCAAATGCTCTGATAAAAAATGAAGGCAGGGAAACAAGCTGAATTACTTGAAATTACTTGAATTTTCTTGTCTTAAAATGGAAAAAAATGTAGTTACAAGTTGAAATCTGCAAATAGTTTTTACACCTCTGATTTTAACATGAACTGATGTTAATGTTTGAAATGTCGGAAATATAAGTAGTTATATATTTAGAATATGTTTTGAATGGGAAAAGGTAGCAAGTGGAGAGAACTAAGGAGGGATATGGCCTATAAAAGAATAGAATGCAATTAGAATGATAGAACATACCAGAGTTACCAAGAAATTGATATGCGTCTGGCTTTAAGCTTATGCAAGTGGTATTTGGGAAAGTAGGATGTGTGAAAAAAGGGGGTGTGGTTTTGATTTCATTCATGCAATATGAAGGGGGAAACCTGGTCTAAGAAGATGCTGTATTTCAAAAGAAACACTTTCTAAGATGTTACAGATTGAGAATTAGAGAATCTGATTGCTGTTGGGTTTTTTTTTGTTTGTTTGTCTGGAAAAAAAGAACAAGTCTGGCTTCTACTATTTGTTTTCACTATCAAATTGTGTTACTTAATTTCTTGTCATCCTTGTATGTAAAATGGGTGCTGGGGGTGGCGGGGTAGAGGAGGGAGAATGTGTATGTGTGTGTGCATGTGCACGTGCGTGCACACGCACGCTCTTGGGCTGGGATAGATAAGCTACCTGGTAAAGGGTACATTTGAACATTTATGAAATGTTATAGTTTTTATTAAAAGAAATATGTTTGGGGTTTGAAAAAAAATGTACCATCATTTCTCATTGGAACCCATGACTTAAGAAAACCAACATGGTTTGACACCACATGGGAACATGAATATCTTTTTCTCATGCTTTGAAAAGTACACTTGGCAAAATTTTAAAAAATAAAGTTTTTAGACAAATGTGGTAAGAAACAGTCATTTCCAGTCACAATAGGTTATCTTTTGTAATTTTCATAAAAGCAGTTCGTTTGCAGTATGGCTTTGTGTAGTTAGGGGGGTTTTAAGTGTTAAGAAATGTATGTGGGCTTTAAAAGTGATTCTAAATCTTGAATAGAAACATGAATTGGCTTTAATAAATATGTCACCTTTTAATTATTGACATTAATTTAAGTAATGGTACCATGTATAGCTTAAAATACATATTGACTTGAATTGTGAGGCAATAAGATACCTTCTATATGTAATGATCACAGAACTAACCCTTATAATATAGTTTTACTTATTTTGTTTACTCTAAAAATCTATAGCAGAGTTTCTCTATTTTATATTTCATAGATTTAAAAAACCCCAAATAAAGATAGATTTTAAATTCACTGTGGAAAATACTATTGAGCAACAAACTGAGTAAAAAAATAAAAGCAAGGAATTCCTTAGTAATCTGGAATATTCTACATGGCTTTGTTACATAGTATATAAAACCAAGATTTAGAGGCTGTCTTCAACATCACTGCCATCTTGAAGCAGGGTACACACATTAGGTATTGCAAAAAACATCAATCCAAGTTTTCTTCTGTTGTTTGCACTGATGCTAATTTTTTGTGCTTTTAGGTTTATACAACATGTCTATGTTGTGTGGGGGAATTTTTTTCCTTACTCTTTGATTTTTTTTTTTTTATGTTTTGGCTAAGTAGAGGACATGGACTAGTTATAGCAAACAAAACACACTGTTTGCTCTTGCCAAAGGTCAGTGAGTGAGTACATTTGCTGCAGTGGTGGCTGACTTAGAAAACTAGATCCTGACAAAAAGATTTAAAACTATGATGTGTCACTATTTTGGTACTAGAACCAATTCATGCTGGCCGAAAAGACAATGGTTTATGGACTTGCATCCATTTTGTATTTTTGTAATATTTGTAAATATGAACTTTTTAAATTGTTGCAAAAAAATGGTTTCTTTTGTAAGATGTTTTCAACGTTTACATTCAATTCAAGCCTTTGTATATTTTAGAGCTGTGCAACACTTTAAGTCTTGTATTTATTTTTAGTAAAAATGGTGACAGTTTCATTGTGAACCCCTTTAAAAAATGTACCAGGAAAGTTTGATTACCTAGAAAGTGTGTATTGAAACTGCAAATAAACGTGACTGCAATTAAATTGGTTTCTCTCTTCATTGTTATATAACTGCATTCTTGGGGTTTCACAAACACAAGCATTTTATACGGAACTGGACATAAAGGAGGGGAGATTACTATGGCAAAACTATGAGCAAAATAACAATAATAATAATAATAATAATAATAATAATAATAGTGCTTCTACAATGAGCTCAAATCTTGCTTTGTATTTGAGAAGAGAAAGAACACATTTCCAATGTTGGATATACTTTTCCGTAGCCCCTCTCTGGGCTAGGAAAAGATTTCTGGCTTTACTTTGAAATATTCACCTTTACTTCTGATAAGTACTCAGACTGTTCCACACTGTTCCTTCTTCCCAAGATGGGCAGCCTCGATATATATAAGACAATATGCCACTAAATAATGTCATGCAATCTTTATTACATAGCAAATTCATGTGCCAGATAGTGTTCTAGGTGCTTTGCTTACTCCAACTCATGTTCTCCCCACATTGTGCCCATTTTGCAGATAGGGAAACTAAAGCACAGAGCGTTACTTGACTTGCCCAAAGTCATAGAGTAACTAATGTTGGGGCTGAGATTCCAACCCAGAAAATTTGGCTCCAAGGTCAGTACTTGTACCAAACCACAATTACTAAGGTTGATCGCTATGGCCCCGCCCCTCTCCCTCTCAAATTCCAATACTGATGAGCACACTTAGAATCCAGTCAATGTGGACCTTAGCGGGAGGGGTAGGAGAGGAATTACGTTTCAAAGAAAGCTTCAAAGAACCAATCAGTGACAGTGGGAGGGCACAAGCCTAAGTGCCACATCCCCGAGAGCTGCCTCCACAACCCCAGAGAGCTGCCTCCACAACCCCCCGAGAACTGCCTCCATAAACCCCGAGAGCTGCCTCCACAACCCCAGAGAGCTGCCTCCACAACCCCCCGAGAGCTGCCTCCACAACCCCAGAGAGCTGCCTCCACAACCCCCCGAGAACTGCCTCCATAAACCCCGAGAGCTGCCTCCACAACCCCAGAGAGCTGCCTCCACAACCCCCCGAGAGCTGCCTCCACAACCCCCCGAGAGCTGCCTCCACTATCCCCGAGAGCTGCCTCCACAATCCCCGAGAGCTGCCTCCACAACCCCCGACAGCTGCCTCCACAACCCCAGAGAGCTGCCTCCACAACCCCCCGAGAGCTGCCTCCACAACCCCCCGAGAGCGGCCTCCACAATCCCCGAGAGCTGCGTCCACAAACCATCCCGTGCGCATGCGCGAACAGCTCCTGCCCAGTTCCAGAAGCCCCGCCCAGCATTGGAGGTTCGCGCCTGTGGTTTAGTGCATGATTCCAACCCTTTTCCTGGGCGGTCACCCTAGCAACGTCCTGCTGTCCAATGTCCGCGCTTGCCTCGACGGTTGCTGGACATCACGTGGTCCTGCTCTGATTTCGCATGACTTTGAGTGGCTCCAAAGAGTCTTCGCCATTGCATCTCGGAGGGACCAGCGCGTCACAGCTAGTCCGCTTCTGCGTCTTCTGGAGGCTGGTGTCACCAGATTTGTCACCAGGAAAGGTTTATCCAGCGATATTTCCCCTCTCCTTGAACTTTCTTGTCTTGGGTGTGGGTGAGAAAGCAGTTGAGTGATTTTAATGCCTTAGGAACTCCGGGAAGGGGTCAGGTGGGAAGTGAGAGGATTTGCGTGAGGGAAGAGGAAGAATTTGCTTTTCTGGAAGAACAAGTCTACACTTGAATTTCAGCAGCGCTGAGGTGGAGTGTGTGTGGGTAGTTCGGGCTGGTTCCCACTGGTTCCCGTTGCCGCCCCGGGATGCTGGGGCATGTGAGCTTTAGTGATTTGGCCACTTTTTGAGTAGTTGGTGCTGACCTTCAAGGACGAGTTTATCTTTTTCATTCTCTTCCTTGGCATATCAAGACATTGTTTTTGAGGCTTTGATGGTAGCTGTGTTGATCAAAGATGTGCAGCGTCGCTCTTTTTTTTTTATTGCTTAAAGTTTTACAAAAAGTATTACATATGTCTCCTTTTTTTTCCCGCCCTTGACAATCCCCTGGCCTCCCCTACCCCCAGTGTGGTCGCTCTTTTATTGTAAATACGTAAATGAGGAAAAAGAAAGATGTAGGTTGTGCAAGGTCTTTTGAGAACTTTGTTGGGGATCGTTTCCCTCCTTCCCTACCTGGCTCTCCTGGAATTCAGACTAGAGTTTTAAACTGGTTTAACATTTATAATTAGTGATTGTTCAGTGTATTGACACAGTTTGTGTGTGTGTGTGTGTGTGTGTGTGTGTGTGTGTGTGTGTGTTTTAAATCCTCGCTCGAGGATACTTTTTACGAAAGAGAGAAACATTGTTGCGCGAGAGAAACGCTGTTGCGAGAAAGAAACATTGTTGCGAGAAAGAGAAACATTGTTGCGCGCGAGAGAAACATTGTTGCAAGAGAGACACATCCACTGGTTGCCTCCTGCCCTCACCCCCACCCCCGGTGGGGTGGTACATGCCCTTGACTGGGAATCAAAACCTGGACTCTCTGTTGCGCAGGTCAACGCTTTAACCACTGAGCAACGCCTGCCAGGGCGACATCGTGTTGTTTTTTTTTTAAACGTTTTGGATTGGCCTGGCTATTGTAATCTGCCCTGTTTTGCTGTGTATTCCTTGCAGTTTGTTTTCCAGTGAAAGGCCACTTTCATCCCTCACCACTGTGAAAAGTTGATGGCAAGTGAATGCCTTGTACCTTGAGCAGAATCTTCAAATGACTTTTGAAAAATGCCTTTGAAATGTCTTTAATGTCTAAAAAAGTCATAAAAACTAGGTAGCTTTTTGGTCTTATGTTGTCAAGAACTTAGATTTTTTCTATTGTAAAATATGGATGAGCTTCATTTTTAAGTTAACTCATTTTGCAGGAGTTTGAATTTAATGGATTATATTAACTAATTTTGCAAAATCTAATTATGGCTGAGCTCTAAGAAAATCTTGTGCAAACTTTAATTATTTACCTTGTGGGAAGAAATGAAAGGAAAAAGTTTATGCTTTGCCTGCTATGAACCAGATATGATGCTGATTGCTTAACTGTGTCATTTGGTCTTCACAGCCCTGTGGAGTAGATATTATTCCAACTTTACAAATTAAGAAATTAAGACAGAAAGATTAAATACCTGCCAAAAGCAAAATATCAAATTTTGCAATTTGGTCTTGGGCTTGAGTATTTCTTAAAGCCCAGTTATTTTTCCTGTGCCCTGGTACTTCAAATTTGTTTATAATAAATGGTTGCTATATCTGCAATGTCCAGATGCAAAGTGAATCCGATTTACATGTTATAACCCTGAGGATTTGTTGCATGTTACACATGTGCTCCCTGATGAATAGTTGGGAGGATGCTGTGAATACCCAAATAATAAAATAATAGTAGCCAACAGTGGGTGCCTTTGCTATACTAGTCATTGTTCTAAGTATTTAATCCTCATAACTCCATGAAGCTTGTACTAATTTCTGGCCTTTACGCAACGTATGGTTGTGAGATTTGTCCTTCTGCATAGCAATAGTTAATTTCTTCTCATTGCTGTGTAATCTTCCTTTGTTCAAAACATCACAGTTTAATTGTACATAGCTTGTTATTACTTGTATCAGGAAAAATACACGTAGTATAAAATAATAAAATTTGGTTGAAGTTACAGCTCAAATTAGATATATTTTATAACTGCCTATTTCCCACAGTATTAGCCTACATTTCTCTAACTTGAGACTTAATTCTCCCTTCATTCTGACTGTCATTAATGGTCTGGCTCTGGATGGATAAATAGAATTAGCACTCTCATGTATGCCCCCCTTCTAGTGCCATGATGCCAGCCAGGGTTCAAATCCTTACTACATTGCACTCCATGTTTGTTTCCTATTTGCAGTTAAATGACCCAGAACCATAACCAAGCCTACACAATTCTGAAAGCTCTTTAGCTGATAATTTTATCTACATTTATTTAGGTTGAATATGAACTTTAACTATGGAAGCAATCATAATCTTAGAGCTGAAGTAACCTTAGGGATAATCTCAGCCAGTTTTCGTCAGTCAGATGAGAAGGCGGTATCTCAGGTGGTCTGCCCAGCCCACACCCTGGTGGAGACCCAAGGTGGGGCAGATTCCTGACACATTTGAAGGCCTGCTGGAGCTCCTTTACAAAAGCAGTTAGGAATCTCAGGAATCATCTTGCCTTGTTTCCAGCATTTAATCTGTAACCTTTAAATTGTGAAGCATTCAGTTCACAATTTGGAATTGTGTTTGATCTTGATTCTTATTCCTATGCGTGGTCAATGTAGTCCTTCAAGCTTTAAAGGTTTATTCTTAATCACGAACAGGAAAATTCTAAAATTCAACCAGGACTCCAATTTGAGTTGGCTTGTGAAAACATATCCATACTAAGTTTATTAATGTAGTATGTAAAGTAACATTTTTATGTATTCTTTTTCAGGAATAGAAGGCTTTTCAGTCCTAGGTGACCAAGCAGTTTCACAAATAAACCCTCCAGCAAGTTTAAAAATAATTAGGTCCAACTCAGAGAAGTGAAGTTGCTCCTATTGCTCAATGATGTCTAGCTGCTCCAGTGAAGTTGATGTGGTTTGTATTTCAAATTGAAAAAAAAAATGTTTCCTTGTTCTTTTCATTGTGCTCTATTTCTTTTCTCAATCGAATTTAATTTCAAGCAGAGATTGTAAGTGTTTACTTCTTGACAGTGATCTATAAAGCTGCTGTGAACATTCATGTACAAGTATTTTGTGAACAAATACTAACAGTTCTTTTGGGTAAATGCTCAGGAATTGAATTGCTTGATTATATGGTTGATGTAATTATAACTTTACTAGAGGCCCAGTACACGAAAATTCGTGCACTGGGGGAGGGGGGCCATCCCTCAGCCCGGCCTGCTCCCTCTCACAGTCTGGAAGCCCTCAGGGGATGTCCTACTGACGGGGAGGAGCAGGCCTAAGCCACAGTCTGGTCTCCCTCTGCAGAAGGTGATCTGACTATCAGGGGAAGGCACTGCCCCCATCACTCCCTCACTGCTGCTGCCTCTGGCCTCCCTCTGTGGGAGGTGACCAGGCCGATCAGGGGAAGGCAACACCCCATCATGCCTCTGCTGCTGCCACTGCCGGCTGTGAGGGTGCCTGAGCCTCGGCCTTCACAGCCACTGCAGCTTGCCTGAGCCTCGGCCCTCACAGTGGCAGCCATCATCCATGGCTTGCCTGAGACTCAGGCCGGCCCTGGGCAGCGGCTTGCCTGAGCCTCGGCCCTCACAGTGGCAGCCATCATCCATGGCTTGCCTGAGACTCAGGCCGGCCCTGGGCAGCGGCTTGTCTGAGCCTCGGGCTGGCCCTGGCAGCAGCAACCACCATCGGTGGCTTGTCTGAGCCTTGGGCCGGCCCTGGGCATCGGCAGCTGCCATTGGCAGCTTGCCTGAGCCTTGGGCTGGCCTGCCATCTGCGGCTTGTCTGAGCCTCAGGCTGGCCCTGGGCAGCTGCTTACCTGAGCCTGGGCTGGCCTGCCATCGGCGGCTTACCTGAGCCTCAGGCTGGCCCTGGGCAGCAGCTTGTCTGAGCCTGGGCTGGCCCTGCCATCGGCGGCTTACCCTGAGCCTCAGGCTGGCCCTGGGCAGCAGCTTGTCTGAGCCTCAGGCTGGCCCTGGGCAGCGGCTTGTCTGAGCCTCAGGCTGGCCCTGGGCAGCGGCTTGTCTGAGCTTTGGGCCAGCCCTGGGCAGTGGCTTACTTGAGCCTCGGGCTGGCCCTGGCAGCGGCTTGTCTGAGCTTTGGGCCAGCCCTGGGCAGTGGCTTACTTGAGCCTCGGGCTGGCCCTGGCAGCGGCAGCTGCCATCAGTGGCTTGCTTGAGCCCTGGGCCAGCCCACCATTGGTGGCTTGCCTGAGCCTCGGGCCGGCCCTGGGCAGTGGCTTGCCTGAGCCTTGGTCTGGCCTGCCATCGGCGGCTTGCCTGAGCCTAGGGCTGGCCCTGGGCAGTGGTAACTGCCATTGGGGGCTTGCCTGAGCCTGGGGCCAACCCTGGGCAGAGGCAGCCGATGCACCTCCTGGTCAATTCCCCGCCCGGGACGCAGCATCAAGTCCCCACCCACCCACGTGCACCTTGCAGCTCACGCAGTCCTGCTCACCTGCACGCGTCCGCTGCACATGCAGCCTCCTGGTGATCACTCGTTTTGGCATGAGGGCGTCAGGGCATGAGGGCGTCAGGGCATGAGGGCGTCAGGGCATGAGGGCGTGACAACAATGTAGGCTTTTATCAGTATAGGTGAGAATCTGCCAAAAGGTTTTTTTAGAATGTTTATGGTCTTGTACATTGTATGTTTCTTGATCCCTGAAGTTGAACACAAAAATATTTTTAAGGTATATATATAATTTGGCTCAAGAGAAAACACATTATTTACATAAGGGTGTAGATATTACTGCCACCTAGGTGGTATAGGCAATTTTTTAACTTATATCAGTCCTAACACTTTTTATTTTTGGAAATAATGTTAACTACCTACAAAGAGTCCATTTTTTGACATAATTATGTGAAAGCACTTGGGAAAGCATAAGGCACAATACAAGGGTAAGATGGTATATTTTTATAGGAACTAATCTATAGTAATTCCATATCGTTTTGGTTATATCTTTTGAAACAGACATGCATAGCTTTAAAGTATGCTTATTTTAAAATTATTCCTATAGTTCATTCTTAAAATAAAGAGTTATTAAGTGAAATTTAATGGTTATCTATTTATTTAAAACATTCCCAAAACCTTTTAAGGTGCTCTAGAGATTAATTTATCAAGAAAAAGGTGAAAAAATTCAGAAGTACAGATTGGTAGTACTAACTAGTCATAGGGATGTAAAGTACAGCATAGGAAATATAATCAATATTACAATAACTATGTGTGGTGTCAGGTGGGTACTAGAAATACCAGGGTGAATACTTTGTAAAGTATATGATTGTCTAATCACTATACTGTACACCTGAAACTAATACAAAATAATATTAAATGTAAACTGAAATTGAAAAAAAATTAAATTAAAAAAATGCTTCTGGAAAGAAAAAAAAGCCTTGGTAAAAAATTATGTAGAAGTACCTAGAATTGAAGGTTTTATGATTATTGCTTTACTAGCAATAATTAACTTATGTGCTATTAAATAAAACAAATTGTTTTTAATCAGGAAAATAAGGATTTAATTAAAAGTTTTTGAAAAAGAAATAGGTACTTAAGTGTTTACTATTTTGTCCACAGAGTGGCACTGTTGGATGGTTTAAAAATCAAAAGCCATGTAGATGGTTCTTTGTGGTTAGAAATATTTGCTGTTATAGCAGTTCTGGTGCCAAATTACTAGAAGACTAGTCTTTCTACCCTGAGGTACACAGAGGCTGAGCTTGATAGAAATAATGTCTTAAGTGTAGTTGGGTTAATGAGAAAATGATTTGGCAAGTACATCTTTTCTTGTACTCATAGCATTTATTCACAATGGGCAAAGGTCCTTTAATACCACAGATAGGATTTTGGAGTTTCTTTAAAATGAAATTGAAGCCCTCAATTTTTCTTTCATTTCCATCTTTCATGTTTCCTTTTAATTTATTAATAAATCTTCCTTAGGTAAGAACTCGAATAACTACTTGTGATGATGATAATGGCATTCTTTATGCATATCAATCAAAGCCTGGATATGCCAATGTAAATGTAAGTAATAATTGCCACTTCCCAAATATAACACAACCATTTTAAAGACAAATATTTAAATTCTTCATATACTATAGACCACCTCCAAACCACACTCAAGAAGTTATTCTCTCCTAAATTTGTTTGCCCCCTTTCATTAGACAATGAGCATTTAACAATTTTACTTCCCTCTTTTTCTTATATAGTAGAAAATTGAGAGCAATACTGATTTTCAGTACAAAACTCTAAATGTAGGTCCTTCTGATGTAATAAATTATTTCCTTACTCCCTCTCTTAATTAGTAGTAATCATTTCTATTATATTAATGTTTTTCTTTTATTTCAATTCTGCTTTATGTTAAGACTTCCAAAATTCTAAAAAGTTAGTGAAAAGTAAAAACAATTTAATTAAAGTGTTTTTTATCATTTATGTTCAGTTTGGCTCTTACAGAAGTAAATCATTAATACTTAACATTTAAAATCTTAGCAGCAAAATGTTCAGGCTGACACATCTAATGAAGAGCACCAAAAAACAATTGTGGATATCCTGAGTCATTGCCAGGTACAGAAGTTCTGTCTGTCAAATGTAGTTTTTTAAAGTATTAAGCTGAACTTCTCTTTATCTCATATAAAGTATATAATTAGTTGACATTTTACTGTATTAAATTGTGACTATCATCCCATTGTGATCATTTTTAACAATTCCTAGTTCAAATAGCATCTGTAGGTGAAAAATTTGAAATACCAATATGTAGATTTTATAGCTTTTTTTTTTTTTCAAAAAAGCCCTTAACTAATCAAATGTATGTATGTCCCTTTCATGTAGATTGTTCAATATTTAATTCCTCTAACATGCTCTTTCTAAAGAAATTGGCTGATTTGGATGAAGTTTAGAATATGTCTAAATGCATTTCAAGAAATTTAAATTGAAAGAAAATGGCAGCCTACTTATTTTACAAGAGTATATCTTACATAGTTTTGAGGGGATTTTGTAAAAATTGGCATGTTGGTAGATATTGATAGATACATGTAATTATCAAGGATTTTGTGAGCTGCATACCCTAGAGGTAATATACATTTATAAAAAATAAATGTTTTTTTAACATACCAAGTGTCCTTAATAAAATGAGTTAACATACTTTGAAAAGTAAAGAATATTTATGTGAGTCTTTATTATTTTTATTACTGAGAACAGAAGTAAATGCTTAAAGGGGACATAGGTTCTGATTTTGAGTAGGGCTATCCCTGGCCTGCCTTACATAAGTATTCATGACAACCTAGGTGGACAGTGCTCTGCCAGGGTCTTCTGAGCAATTGTGCAGGATGTGGTGGGATGTAGCATCTAGGATAAGAAATGCTCAGGTCCCAAAGTCACAGGCCTGGAATGGGCCATAGGGATCCACTCTATCTCGCCTAGCGGGCCACCTCTCTCCTTTCTTCAGCTCCTTCCCTTCCCAGTCTAGACCACATGATGCAGCACTTCCAGCTTTTCTTTTTTATCCTTGCCCAGCATCCTCTTTAGTAAAACCCCAGCCCTGTGCTGGCTGGGAATCATAGGGGAGAGCCTCTGCTGGGACCTGTCCACTGCCTGGTAATCCTTCAGCAGCTCTCCAGTCATCTCCTCCCACCCCCTTACAAGCTCCAGACACCCCAATCTTTGCTTCTTGTTTAATGGAGAAAATGGGGGACATGGAGCAGAAATCCTCTCCAAGTTCTAATTCCTCTTCCCACAGCCAACAAACTTTCCTGGATCCATTCCTCTTCTGATGTCTTCCTCTGTAAGACTAAGACCTCTGCTGGTTTCCTCTGACCCTCTTTCCCTGTGTTCAGACGCTTTCCTTAGTGGGCCATCCCTCTCTCCTGTATCTTCAGCCTCCGTGTCTATCACTCAGCATATTCTCCCACAGTTTACAAAATGACTTCTTTTAGCCTCCCATCCTTCTTTTGCTGTCATCCTTCCTGTGTCCTTCCCTTAATAATCCAGCTCTTTGAATGTCAGTTATGTTCACTATCTAAACATCTGACTTCCTGTTTTCTCTCTGGGTATTTTTTAATTGTTTTATTGCTTAAAGTATTACAAAGAGTATTACATATGTCTCCTTTTTTTCCCCACCCTTGACAATCCCCTAGCCTCCCCTACACCCCCCCCAGTGTCTTATGTCCATTGGTTATGCTTATCTGCATGCATACAAGTCCATTGGTTGATCTCTTACCCTCCCCTCCCTACCCCCCAACCCTCCCCGGCCTTCCCGCTGTAGTTTGACAGTCTGCTCGAGGCTGCTCTGCCTCTGTATCTATTTTTGTTCATAAGTTTATAATAGTCTTTATTATCCATAAATGAGTGATATCATGTGGTATTTTTCCTTCATTGACTGGCTTATTTCACTTAGCATAATGCTCTCCAGTTCCATCCATGTTGTTGCAAATGGCAAGAATTCCTTCTTTTTTACAGCAGCATAGTATTCCATCGTGTAGATGTACCACAGTTTTCTAATCCATTCATCTACTGATGGGCACTTAGGCTGTTTCCAGATCTTAGCTATGGTGAATTGTGCTTCTCTGGGTATTTTTCAATACACTGTCCTTTCTGCCCTGTATGCGCCCCACCCCCATGCATCTCTACCAACCTGGGTTAGGTCTTGCTCTTCTGTGTACACTTAGCCTTCTGTTCTTACCTGTGCCATAATAGTCAAGTATTAAATATTAATATCAATATTAATATGGATAGATGATTGTCATTGGACCAATCATCAGGTAGTATTATTATGTTAGTATGAACATAATGCCATAGAACCTTATTTTTTTCTCAAGAGAACTCAGAGATATTTTTATCCTGATTCTATACATGAGGAAAGTGAAGTACAGAGAAGTTAAGTAACTTCACCAAGGTCACAGAGCTAATAAGTGTCAGAACTCTAGTATTTAGATTCAACCTTGTTCCCCTAGAGCCTGCACTGCTTACCTAGTGCTATAGGCCAATCAATGGGTCTCACACTTGATCGGACGTCAGAATGACCTGGAGGGCTTGTGAGAACAGACATTGCTACCTCCACTCTGAGTTATTAGGTGTGGGTAAGGGCATTTTGCATTTCCAGTAAGAAAATATTGATGCTGCTGGCCCATGGTCCACACTTGGAGAACCCTTCTCCAGGCTGCTACTCAGTTTCTCTCTTGAAAGCATCTCTTTACTTTTCTCTCTCTCCAGTTAAAATAGGAGTTCCTTAGGACAGGAGATGTTTGTTTTTTCTTAATGACCATGTTTATAGCATCTAGCAAAGTAGTCATGACAGGTGGTAGGCCCTCAATAAAAGTTTATTGGAATGAGTGAATGAGGAAATGGCTCTGGCCTATTACTTAAGTGTATTTTTTGCCTGAATGAAATTTCTGTGTATGCAAAATTTCTCAGGTTCTGTTTGTCACATACTTGATTGGCATATAGGGATGTGTATTCACAGATCGTTAATTGTATGTTGTAATTGTTGATTGCATGATTTAAAAATGCTTTGAAGGCAAAAGTCACATCTGATATATTTGGCTCACTGTTCTTTCCAGACTGTAATGTGCACTGCCTATTAGTTCATGTCATCATATGGAAAGAGGTTCTTTGACTTTTCAGCAGATTTGAAAATTTCTTTCCTAAAATAGCACCTTCTTTGATATAAAATGAGTCCATCATAAATGTGATGGGTTATAGGAATTGTGCTACATGTACTTCATAATTGATGCTTCTGAAAATGCCTATATGACATGGAGTAGTTGCGTAGGAGGTTGGCACTCCTTATGTCAGCCATCTGTGATCTCTGTCAGCAACAACTAGGTGTCAATTGGAAAGGAAGACATTTCTGATGGCTTGTGAACTTTCTTTTATCCTAGCAGTCAAAATTTGGCTTAATAGTATTTTCTTATATGTTAACTTTTCTTTTAACATAGAACCTACTAATAAATTGTATTATTATAGGTCATCCAAGATGCTATTCAAAAACTGGATAAGAAGTTTAATATCATTCATAAAAAGGTTTCAAAAATTTACCGTTTTCGTACAAAATTAATCTGGCAAAATAGGGTAAGTGTCATAAAAATATTTTCACAACTATAATAAACCTCTGGTTGCTGAAATTGCCTGTCAGTTAGAAGTGAGAGAACTAATAAGTCTGTGAGATTGCAAGGCTGTTCATACTTGTAGCAACAGATGGGAGGAGACTGGACTTCTAGGAAGAATGCTGAAGTTTAGGTTTGAGAAATGTATGAAAATGGGTATTTTTATGTTTGTAACCAGAATGTACAAACTGCAATTAAAAGGTAGTATTAAAGAGGAATAAAAATCATATAATCAAATAGAACATTACTTTTTAATAATAGAATGCAATGTTGCGTGGATAATAAATATTAATGTCTTTACTACTTTATTTACTTTTTGCTCACTCACAATTGGTTTATCATGCTGGGTTTCTGTCATTTCAGAAGCCACTTGGATATGCATACAAACATTATACTTACCTGCTTTCTCGAAAGGTCAAATTGCAGAAAAAGAAGAAGGATGTGTCTCTTCCTGGTTCTTATGCAGGAAGTTATAGCCCAACTACACCAGTAAGAAGACCATCATATGATTCCCAGAGCAACATTGCAGGAACATATGGCTCATCACAGGATTCCATAATGCGTGATTACAACATTGAAGAGACACGCCTTAGCCAGAGTCCAAAATTCCCTCCCGTCTACACACAGGCTGATCCACCATATTACGCTTCCAATGAGCCAGCGCAGCGCTCCCCTTGCATGTCCTCCTTTGGCAATCAAGGGCCTCACAGCTGCACATCAGTACCTGGCAAATCCAGTCTTGCATACAACCCTGAGATGATGGGTTACCCAGCTTTGCTGGAAAGGGATTGCCGGGGCCATGACACCTCATCTTCCTGCAACCAAGCCATCTCCCGTGAGTGTGAAAAGACATATTTATTATAAGTAGCACTATTTAGCCTATATTCCTCAACATACTTGGTGCAAGCTAGTGGAAGCTGTTCATTTCCTATTTGAGGGCTAGTTTGGGGTGATATTCATAATGATGACTAACATTTATTAAGTGTCTTTTATGTATCAGACACCAGTAATCAACTGACATGCCTCTTCACCAATACAATAATCCCATTGTGAGTATTTTTAAAAAATATATTTTCATTGATTTCAGAGAGGAAGGGAGAGGGAGAGAGAGATAGAAACATCAATGATGAGAGAGAATCATTGATCGGCTGCCTCCTGCACACCCCCAAATGGGGATGGAGCCCGCAACCCGGGCATGTGCCCTTGGCCAGAATCGAATCTGGGACCCTTCAGTCCACAGTCCGACACTCTATTTACTGAGCTAAACCAACTAAGGCCATTATGAGTATTTTTATATTTTGTTTTTCTTTACCTTTTTCCTAGGTAAATACTCAGAATGCTCTTGAAATGGCCAGAGCCAGGATGATAGGAAAGAAAAGATACACCTTTGGCTAATTTACACATAAGAAAGATCAAAATTGTATTGATGGTCTTTGGTTAGAGAAACATTTTCCTAGGGAATTACAAAACCCACTTCTGTTATCACACACAATAGAGATTTGAGTGCTCTAGTTGAGAAAATGAATATGTCTAGACACAGAGAAATTTCACCATGACTTAGTGAACATCACAGCTAAAACTTTTTGAGGTATGAGCACTGCAGTTGTTTCATGTCTTTGTTATTTTTCAACATATAAACCTCAATGAAAATAGCTATTTCTGTGTAGTTAAACTCAAAAGAAGTATTAAATATAGTGTTGAAGTTACTTCTGACCTAGCTAAGAATAAAATCATCTTGTTTTCTTCAAAATTCAGATAAGTAAGCCTTGAAAGGCAGGAATTTAAAGAGTAAAATGATGCTTAAAATATCTATAGTGAATATATAGGAAGGATTCAGTAAAGAACTAATTTGGTTCTCAAAGATATGGGGTTTTTGAAATTCATTTATTAAAGTGAATACATTTTAAAAATTATGAAGTTTAATTTGCGGGATTTCCATTGTATTTAGCTGATAAAATAAACCTAATCTAGACAGATTAATAAGAAATAAATTCATTGAAATACTTAGAGAATAATAGGTTAGCTTAGATTAACCTATTTAACCCAAGTAACAGATCTTTTGCTATATTTGCCTGTGGCCAAAGAGACCTCAGATTGCTGTCTGTTTTATGAGTTTTGAAGCTTTACAGTAACTTCGGAAGCTGCTGCTGCTGTTCGTGGGCAGTCAGATGGGCCACTCATGGGTACCCATCTTCATATCATCTGTATCTAAGCTTTCACTGGATTTTGCACTTGGAGTCTTGGGTCCTTGCCGGGGTACCTAGCAGATGGTTTCAGGAGTGAGGCCTTTACTCCCTACCTAACATCTCTTCTTTCAGGATAATGATCAGATCAAGTATGATTTGTTTCCCCTCCTCCCTCATTGAAGCTGCAGGTTCATCAGTTGGAACTGACCAGAGTGTGATACAAGAAGACCTCCCTGATGACCCTTCAATTTGGACAGTAGAACAAGTGGTCCTGTTTCTACAGCATTTAGATCCTGAGCTATTCGCCCCCCTTGCCAACACCTTCAGGCAACACGTAATGTATTTTTTTATCCCATTTTCCTGCCTTTGAATGACCTCTGTGCAGGCTCTTCAGTTTGATACTGATTAGTGTGGATGGTAAGGGAACTGCATGTGTGAGAAAGGTTACTGTGCTCAAAGTTAGATCTTTAAGTTGTAGAAGCTTTATTTGTAATTTAAATGGCTACCTGAGTACCTAAAATATTACAAGTCTTCAGGTTCACAAGATGATTCAGTATGGTCACTCTCAGGTGTCTTCTCCTTTGTAATGACAGCTATGACACCACACAAGGGTGTCCTCCTTGTTATGCATATTTACAGTTTGCATTGATGCTGCCATACTCATATTCCCAGCCTTTCTTAAAAAGTTAATGACCATCTGAAATTTATTTCTGCCATTCATAGCTTTTATTCTTTTTCTCATAGCTATCCAGTATTTTATTCAACATACAGTACTTAAAATTAGGTAGTTTGACACTTAGGGCATTTTTAGGATATTGGGTTAAATATAATTCTTAAAATCTGAAGTAAATTTGTAAAGGATCAAATGATGCTTCAGCTGTACAAATTACATCTTTAATAGTTTTCAAAGAGCAGATGCATGTTCAGAGAATATACAACTGGAATGAGCTGCCCTCTAATTGATGTTACATGTTCTTATATATAAAGAAATGACCATTCTGATAAAATATGAAAGCATTATTAGTTATTCTAATTTCCTTCTTTTTGTAGGACATTGATGGGTCAGCTCTGCTACTGCTCCCGAATGACATTATGATAAAGTATATGGGAATTAAGCTGGGGACAGCTCTGAAGTTGTCCCACTACATCGTAAAGCTTAAAGAACAAAAAGGCATTGATTATTGAAAAAAAAGTTTGTATAGATTTACATTAGACTTAATTCTGGAAGACCAATGCCATCTCGATGTAAAATCATTCCATTGCTCTTAGAAATTTTTGTGTTGTAGAAGGTTCCTCTAAAATTTTGTTACATCTAGAATTGCAGAACTGCACTGCAGTTCATTCTGTTTGTTTTAGAAACTGTTTAACACATTACTATTAACGTAATCAAATTAGTAATTGGTTCTTTATATCTTTTTATTATCATTGTATAGTTAAAAATATACTTCATATGAGAAACAATTTTGATTTCAGTTGATGTTTATATAGAGAGAGCCAAAACAGCTAAATCCCAAAGAGGAAGTATCAGGGATTGACAAGTTCTCTAATAAAATCCATGAGAAGTTTTCCTTAGAAGAGAATTCAAAGATGCACCTGCAGATATCATCTCTTTCTCAAATATTTTGTGTCTGTTATAACAGTGTTCTGTTCATGTTCTATCAGTTTTCTGAAAGGGAATAGCCATGTAATTTATTTCCCTTTTGCTATTATTTCTCTCTATATTGTATTTGTTCATATTTAAAGAAAAAAGTAACCTTATAGGATTTCATAAAGTGTTCTTACCAGTTTTTTTGATAAATTATAAGATAGAATGACTCCTTTATGCAATAGCTCTTATACTACAAGGTGGTTTGGGTGAAATATGGTTTTATTCTTCTCCATTAAATTTACCTGTTATTTTAAAACTTTAAAATATCTTGCCTAATCTTAGATATTTAACTAGCCATTTATCACTCACATTTCTCTCTGAAGTTTACTGTGTCCAAATTTTTAAAAATGCATATTCATATGGATATGGTTTTATATTTATATTTTATTCTATATCTGAAGTATGCACACAAGTGAATCTTTTTGAATTTAAAATGGCACTTTCCACTTCTATATATAGTGAGATATTTTTATTCTGTAATGAATATGCATTTCATTTGCCATCACAAGTATCTCTTAGCTCACTCAGGGTTTCCATAGGAAAGTTCTCTGTCCTGTGTAGTATATCTAGTTCATTTGCTTTCTGAGCCGTTTATTCTATTAAACTTTGTAAGGTGCATTAGGTTGGATTTGTCATTTTAGACTTTATTTTAAAAATTAGAACTTTCAAGTAAAACATGCTCATTGTTATTATTTTGTTATTTATTACATTGCTATATTGTATTGCATTTGCTGTAATATTTATAAGCTATAAGAATTGGTGCTAACTGTATTAGTCACTTGTTGTAAATGCAATAAATGTTTGCCAGGGGCCAGCATGTACATTTCCTTTATAGAAAACCAAGTGTCCTTTACATTTATAAACAAATGCAATGATTTATTAAGCATATGTGATCTAAAGAGTAGTTTGATCTTTGTTATTCCTTTTGTGTTATAAGACAAGATTCTAATTTATACTTTTAATCTCTCAAATTGTTTGAGTGAAGATGCTGTGTCCAGTTGAACAGTCCTCAGATATTTATACAAATACTATGTTTTACAGTTCTCACTTTTATTATTTTTTATTTAATATTTTTATTCAGAAAACAGTTCTCACTTTTAAAATATAATAAAGTTAAATAACTGCAAAAACTTGTGTCAGAAGCTCAGTTGTGATTTGCTTTCACCTCGTTACATTTATGTATGAATTGGGTATATTGAAAAAGAAGTGCTCTAGTAAGTTTGTGGATTTATATATCCAAATACTTGAGTTTAACACTTGACCTCATTCCATGGGTGAACATATTCATAGGGGCAAAGGGCTGGTCTCTTGCAGGGGCCTTAAATGAGAACAGGGGAACAGTCAGAAGTTAAATCAGTGAGCTTTGTCTGTGCTCAAAGCTTTTGTTACTTGCAATGTTATTGATGAAGCCAGCATGCTAGAAAATGCCAGTGCCCCCAGATATTGCCTAACCTGAGTTCATCTATCTGTCTGGTGATTCTGGATGGTCTTTTACCAGCGGGGGACAGAAGCTGCACTGTCTCTCTGCCTTCAATTCTCCCAGCTTACATGCTCGGAAGACCTTAGAGCAGCGGTTCTCAACCTGTGGGTGGTGACCCCCTTGGTGGTCGAACGACCCTTTCACAGGAGTCGCCTAAATACATCCTGCATATCAGATATTTACATTACGATTCATAACAGTAGAAAATTACAGTTATGAAGTAGCAACGAAAATAATTTTATGGTTGGGGGTCACCACAACATGAGGAACTGTATTAAAGGGTCGTGGCATTAGGAAGTTTGAGAACCACTGCCTTAGAGGCTCAGAGTTGTGGTTTTTTGCCTTCAGTATCTGACTCCTCGGACCACCCACCCCAGGAGCTGCTGCTAGGTGTCTGGGAACCCAGAAACTTCCTGTCGTTGCTTCTCAGCAGCCTGTTCTATACTTCACTGGAGGCCACATGGTCATAATAGGTTCCAGGGGTGGTGCTCCAGTGACTGGAATAGGGCATCCATTTGCTGTCTGAGACTTGGGTGATTCAGAACCACTTGTTCTTCACTGTCTGGTTTGTAAATTATTAGTGCAGAGAATAGAATGCTATGCTAGCCTCCTGTGAACTTGCCAGGCTTTTAAAATAATACTTCCTCTAGTTTTGCCTCCCATTCCATCTTGGAGACTCTGTAGCCAATAGAATTGAGCAACTTGAGCTCTGAAGCCCTCTGGGCACATTGAGCATTTGCTTTCATCTGTGTGATTTCTGATGGTTGGAGTATCTTATAGGACATATTCCAGAGAAGGATTTCCCAGACTTTTAAACTTGGCCGCCTCTGTAAGCATGAAAAAGCCACGCCCTTCTGTAATATTGTAAATAAAAAATTCAACATCACAACTGGAAACAATATAATTGGGAGGAAAAGCGCTGCTTTTTCAAGCAGCAGAAAGGATTGTACTCACAGTTGGCTGAGAAATGAAGTGCGTTTACATCTTGGGGGCTGTTTCTACTGTGTGATGCTGGGACTTGCTTGTATCCCTAAGTCCTCTGAGGCTGATCAGGGAATGATGGGCTCTAGGGGAGGGAAACAATGCGTGGTGGACAGTGTCCTTCCACTCCCTCCCGATATCCCCCCTGTTGTCCTGCAGCTTGATGGAATTGAGCCTTGAAAGCATCTCTCTCCAGTGAGTGCAGATTCAGTTCGAGCTTTCCCACACTCCTCACTACGCGAGAGGTGCCTCCTGAGCCACCCTGGCCACTTTCTCTCTTTTTGGAGCATCCCCTGGGCACTAGAGCATCAAGAGTCTTTCCAGGTATGTTACAAAGAGGTCTGAGATAGAAAGAGGTAGCCAAGAGATTCAGGCTTAGACACACGCACCCCATAGGCCAGTTTCTGTCATCTGGTCCTGTTGCTTTAGCTCTCAGGGTCGAGGATCACCCATTCCTCTAGAGGTGTGAGAAGTCAGGGAGATTTGGCTGCAAAAGCAGCTGGATAGGGCCAGGGTGAAGGTGTGTGCTCCTTTATTCCTGTCTTGCCCTCCCCTGAATCCCTGCTGCTCCATTTTCCACATTCTGTTCACAGTTCACCCCATTATACTGAAACTCAGGAAGGCAGCTGTGTGGCTTGATATTAAGACTTTCAGTCTTCAGATAAATTTCAGCATAGGTTCTGGAGTTACTAGCAGTTCACCAGCTGTGCAGACTTGGTCCCTGTCACCTTTCTGTGGAAGATGATAGCCATTAGTATAGAGGGGAGGGAGATGGAGATATAGAGATAGAGAGAGAGAGACATTGATATGAGAGAGATACATCGATTGGTTGCCTCTCACACATTCCCCAATTGAGGTATGTGCTCTTGACTGGAAATGGAACTGAGAGCCTTTGGTACAGGGGCTGATGCTCTAAGCATTGAGCAAACGGGCCAGGGCATGTCGTTACTTTTTCCGTACCATGAAGGGAGCTTCATTATTGGCCTCTGTCCCCATTTCATTCACTTTCTCCCTGGGGAAGTGGAATTTTCTAATCAGTGATTTTGGGAGGAATAACTGGCTATTTTCCTCTTGGGAGAAAGACTGCTGGGAGGTGATATTTCTAGGTAGATGAGTCCAATTAACACTGGAATCTACCTGCAGACTCCTTGGCCTGTCACATTGAGCTGTGTCTTCCAACTTAGCTCAACAATAGGAATATGTTATTTTAGCCTCTATCTTAATTCTTTTATTTCTCAACATTTTATTTCTCAAGAGGGGAAAAAAGGGGGTGATATTTACTGGAGCCTCTTTGAACATCTCAACACACAGCATAAGGTAGGTATCAAATCTCTCCCCTTACCAGGTTATGTTGCTTCCTTCTCTATCACACGGCTGATTTTGCCAATCCCTTTTGACATCATCTCTTGCTACATCATTTTTATGATCAATAATTCCTATCTTCCCCAGGATATTATGCAACATGAATCTAAAATAATTTTTATGTCAACTGAGTACATATTTAATATTGTGGCCCTCAGAACTCTAATAAGATTCTCCCTTACCTGGCTAATCTCATTTCTTGCTGTCCTGGCCCACACACTTCATACCAGCCAAGTCATATTTACTCAGGCCTTTTCTATACTCGGGCCTTTCTCTCACCTCATTAAACTCACAAACCCCATTCGAAATGTATGAAGCCATCCCCATGATCCCTGTTTCCTGGTAGCCACACCCATGTGTATTTAAGCCCCTTGCACTGAGTTTGGGCTGGACTTACTACCTTCTAATGAACAGAATACAGAGAAGTGACGAGATGTCAATTCTGAGATCAGATTGGAAAGACTGTGGCTTCTGTCTTAGGCACCCTCTCAGGAAGGCAGCTGCCACATCACATGGCAGCCCTGGAAAGGTCCCACGTGTGAGGTCTCAGGGCTGCCAACAACTTTGTGAGTGAACTGGGGAGTGAATTCCCACTCCACCACCCATCGAGCCTTCAGGTGAAATCACAGCCCCACCTGATAGCTTGACTGCAACCTCACAGAAGGCCTTGAGAGAGGAAACCTGATAAGTCACCCCCTAAGTTCCCAACCCCCAGAAAATGTGAGATAACAAATGTTTGTTGTTTTACAGAAATTTGTAACTAAAGCAATGGTATCTTCCCTGTTTTTAATTAAAGGCAATAAGTTCTGCTTGGTTATTATTCTGTTTTCTCAATCTCACTGCCAAACCATTCTCCTGGTGCCCTCCCTCCATTGACAACAACCACAAAATCTGTCTGTTGCCCTAGGACAGTGATGGCGAACCTATGACACGCGTGTCAGAGGTGACATGCGAACTCATTTTTCTGGTTGATTTTTCTTTGTTAAATGGCATTTAAATATATAAAATAAATATCAAAAATATAAGTCTTTGTTTTACTATGGTTGCAAATATCAAAAAATTTCTATATGTGACACGGCACCAGAGTTAAGTTAGGATTTTTCAAAATGCTGACACGCTGAGCTCAAAAGATTCACCATCACTGCTCTAGGAAATGCTTGTTATCTCTTGTTTGTTTGTTGTTTGTTTAAAGTCCTGATCTCTCAAGTCTGAACTGTGAAAATCTGTGCACAAAGTCCCAGTGAAATTTTGAAGGAGTGAAGTCTCTTCCTTGAAAAGGAAAATATGCAAAGTTTCTTCTTGGTTCATGAAATATTTGACATGTGCAACCTGCTCTGGTGGTTATTTTTAGATCTTCCCTCTGATGGAGTGCCTGGGTCTTGTTTTCACTTGTCTTTCAGGGCTTGTGTATGACTGAATGAGGCTAGCTCCCAGGAAGCATAGGTGTTCCTGCATAATCTTTACGGGGAAGTTCTGTATGTACATGAAGACATTTCTTTTTCTTGTTTCCCTTTTATCATTTTAAAAATATGTTGTTTTTGTTTGCCTTTCTTATATAGGAGTATAGATCTTATGTCTAGTCACCATCTATCTATCTATCTATATATATATATATATATATATATATATATATATATATATATGGCTAAGCAACTGGCCAACAAGCCAACTGGCTGACTTGCTGATAGGTATGAGGTGCACTGACTACCAGGGGGCAGATGCTCAACACAGGAGCTGCCAAACAATAGCAACTTTGTAAAGTACCCTCTCACACTCCGGGACCCCTCGGAGGATGTCAGATTGCTGGTTTTGGCCTAATCCCCGCAGGCCAGGCCTAAGGACCCCACCTGTCAGAGGGACCCCAATCACTCCACAGATGCCCTTTGAGCCATGGTGCTGCCCCAGGTGAGGCCAGACAGGGAGGGACCATGGGAGGTTGGATCCAGGGCGTGTCTGGCCTGTCTTGCTCAGTTCCACCTACCAACCACCTTCTAATTA